CTTTCTATTAACAAAAGCGCGTGACGAAAAAGATATGCAAATTGTAGAGAGATTAAGCGCAATCCCTTCGCGCACACGAAATTCCAGTTGGAAATGAACGAAGTGTGCCCAACCCTTAACAACAGACATTACGCATGCTTAACGAACCGGTGACGCAGGCACGTTCCGGATAAAAACGCAGAGACTTGTAACGAAACGCAATTACGTGCCGACCTAATGAGCGCTTAGAAAGCGCCGTGTTTTTTTTTTTTTTTTTTTTTGCTTTTGAGAAAGCGCCAGCTTTTTTGTTGTGCTGTTGAAGAAAACTCGTTCTAATGAACTTGCGAACACGCCGGCGCGTCGATGCGCTATAAATATGTATGACAGCAATGCAGACACCTTTGAAATTCAAATTTATAGGTGTGCTGTTATGTATGCGCATATGTTTGTGTGTGCGCGCTTAACTCTTTCGACTGAAAATAAACAAAAATTAAAACATTTATTTGCTTTAATTACCAAGCGACACGCTGCGGCATGACGCGCGCCAGCAAAAAGGTGGAAATTTCAATGCGGACTGCCTATTGTGTCGAATTTTCTTTCTTTTTTTCAGCACTGCTGTGCTAGTGGCAACGTCAGCTGCGTAGCTTGGCAGGCATAGCTGACGCGCGCGCATAGTAAAGAGCTCGTAAATCCTGCAGTCAACACAAAGGCGCTGCGCGTGTCATGCCACCACTTCGGATTCTGCATTCAACGTTGGAATAGCGGCGTACAAACGCGCGACCCTTAGCTTTTCCTTCTAACTGACGAGGAGCGCTTGGTCGCCGCTACTTCATTTTCACATTTCATGTCCATAAATAACAAAAAGTACACGAAAAATGCGCTGAAAATTAAGTAGAGTACAATACACTTACGCGCACCCTTTATACAAACCCACACACACATGAGCATACGCGCATGTATGAGCGTTTGGAATCTCTCCAGGTAATTTTCACGTGTGCATCACGTTTTATGTGATTTTCCGGTTCACTCATAATCTTTGGCGCTACAGTTGTGTGCGTGTGTATGTTTGGCGCTTGGCGACGCGTGCCACCACTACTCGTACAGCGCGGCACCGCAATGCGACCGACCGCCACAAAATGCAAACGCGGACGCGCCGCAACAATGATAAATTGGCGAACGTCAATGCGAACGCAATGCGCCGCGCCGCGCTGCTGTGATCGAAGGCGAAAAATGTGTGTTTACACCACGCGTCACATGATAAATTGCCACATGCCACTCGCATCACACAAAGCCATGCAACGCCGCTACTGCCAATGCCACCACAGCCCCTATTATGGACGGGCGCACGAACGGAGGGCACACTCTTAAGTGTTTGTTCTTTTTATTGCATGCAGTAGTTGCACGATTGCTCGGTTGCCATTCTGCCTTCTTTTTTTGCAGTTCCTCTTCGCTTTAATATGAAGGTATGTGCTCGTATTTCTCAAGTCGCTGTGGATTAAGAGTTAACGTTGCGCACTGCAGAGTTCAAGTTTGTAATTGGATATCGGTACAGGCGTTCAACGTCCATCCGTCCGTCCACTGATGCGTCTGTGTGCCCGTGTTTACAGCGCCCCCTTCATACTCGCTGCATACTTAAGTGATAATCGAAAAGATGGATTTTGCACACGCATCCGCGGAAGAAGAATCATGAAAAATTGCTTCGTTCAGTGGGTGATTTTCCATGTGCAGACTCGTCCTCCGTTTTTGCTACGCGGCAAGCAATTCAAGTGACGGATTTGCCATAAAACTCATTGACAAGACTTTAAAGGAATTGAGGGGAGTTTTGGGTATGCGAAAAAGGGTGCGTTTCATACCTCAGTAACTTGGCATGACTTCTTATGTCAAACAGTTTTAAATTTGCTTGTAATTATATATAATCAATCAATCAGAAATTTGATTGTATAAAAAGTGATTTTATGCTGTACATACTTAAGGGTTAGTGATAAATAAATGAAAATCCCTTCCATCAGCATTGAAAACGAAACAATTTTGTGTTGAGTATTAAAAATATTTTTTTTTTTTTTTGCAATTTACAATTTTATAAAATAATGCTATCACATATGGAAATATATATAAAATGGGTGGGTCTCAAATTTCCGACAAAGTTTTCAAGATTCAATACATAAGTATATACCCACATACATATGTACTATATATTTAGTATAAACACATTTACAGTTTTGCTAAATATTCGTTCCCGATTCCTTTACTGCTGATAATGGAAGCAACGATTTTATCCAAAAAGTTAAGGTATCTAAATGTTTAAGCCCTTCTATGGTAAATGACTAATCAACTCTTCTGAGAATATGTCGCAGTTCAAACATCTTCTTTTTCTTTAATGGCGTAGACATTGCTTACGCGGTTATAGCTCAGTTTACAAAAGCACGCCAGTCGTTCTTTCTTTTCGCTGTTTGGTAGCAATTGGAGATTGCAAGTGCAACCAGGTCTTTCCAATGGAATCGAGGTCTTTCTCTTCCTTTACTACTCCCGGCGGTACTGTGTCGAATAATCTCAGAACTGAAATGTTTTCATACATACGGACGACATGATCTAGCCAACATAGCCGCTGTCTCTTAATTTGCTGAACTATATCAATGTCGTCGTATAACTCATACAGTTCATCGCTCCATCGACTACGGTATTCGCTGTTGCCAATGCGCAAAGAATCATAAATATAATGAAGAACCTTTCACTCGAAAACTCGTAATGCCGACTCAACAGATGATGTCATTGTCCATGCCACTGCACCGGATAGCAGGTCGGAGATGAAGAGGGACTTATAGAGTTTAGTTTTCCTCGAGAGAAATCATTACTTCACAATGGCCTATTGAGTCCGAAGTACCACCTGTTGGCAAGAGTTATTCAGCGTTGGATTTCTAGGCTAACATTGTTGTTGTCGTGTTAACGCTGGTTCCAAAGCAGACGAAATTATCTACGACTTCAATGTTATGACTCTCAACAGTGACGGGGGGAGACTGTTTGTTTGATGACAGGAGATATTTCGTCTTGCCCTAATTCACCATCAGACCTACCTCATATCAATATCATCGGCATACGCCAGAAGCTGTACACTGTTATAAAAAATTGTACCTGCTCGATTAAATTCTGCAGCTCGTATTATTTTATCCAGCAGTAGATTGAAGAAGTCACATGATACGTAGTCGCCTTGTCGGAAACCTCGTTTGGCATCGAACGGCTCGGAAGTGTGCTTTCCGATCCTGACGGAGCTTTTGGTTTTGCTCAACGCCAGTTTACACAATGGTAATAAATTAAATTATCGACAACATTGTATACAACGAATGTCTAGCTCACACCCTTCAAATGTTTGTAATCAAATATTTGTCAAGTCTTTTAAAGGGGTATGGTGACCAAGTTGGTAGATAGAACTGGTTTAGCCATCAACACAAATGAAACGGCGCTGAATTTATTTCCGTGGTGGCAGAAGATCCCAGTTATTTCTCTCCCCGCGTGAAAACCAAATATTTGGGAAATAGTAAGGTAGGTATTGGGAAGAGGTTGGGTCTCTACTATCGAGAGCCGCATTGAACTCGCTGACGGTGTGCCCAAGTCTAGTCACAAAGTTTTTGTCTTTCATTTCGTCAGATTGGGAACGAGTCGGTAATCAACAAATAAAACTGGTTGGTGTTCTGACTGAACATTATTCAATTGATTCAAATTGTCAAACATATAAGGAGAGGCAAGATTGAAAGATTTACTTTCCTTTATAACTGTCCAGTGTTTACTAGACTGATGTTGAAACATCTCGGTCTACATCTCGATATACATTCGACGAACTTGACGAAATGGCAAGGATTTATAATGAGCGCCTTAATAAATTTGTGGTAAACTAAAAAGATTTTGTAGATGTATAAGAGATATATATCTAGGTGTTTTGGTAATCACAAGTAACTAGCTTGCACAGCTATCCTAATGGAATTCTTCGCTTCCTTTGCCGCGAGGATTAGTTCTAACTAATCTAGGCTACTAAAGTCGGAACAAATAATTCGTTTTTACCATATTTATTTTAAGTGACGCCGATGAACAGAGAACATTAGAAAACAAGCTTGAACAACTCAATGCAAAAAATGTAGTTGAAAAAATGATAATCAGGGACGAAAACTGGCAGCAAATATCCTCGTATGTGAAAAATGTACCACTTTTTCTCAATTAGCGTAGACACCGTTTACGCGGTTATAGCAAAGCCGTGCCAGTCGTGGTGCCTTTACACTGTTTGACACCAATTGGTGATTCCAAGCATAGCCAGTTTCTTCTCCAAATAGTTTTTCAATTGCCTACTAAGTCCGAAGTAGCTCGTCTTGGCAAGAGCTCTTCTGCGTTGGATTTCGAGATCAACGTTGTTGTTGGAGTTAATGCTGGTTCTAAGATAGACGACATTATCTAATACCAGACCCATTCATTTTTTTCTTTGTACAACGTGGAGAAAGCAAGACTAACGGCGCGGTTATTGCAGCCAATTAAAACATTGTAATCGGCGTACGCCAGCAGTTTAACACTCATGTAGTGGATTGTACCTTCTCTATTCAGATCTGCAGCTCGAACTATTTTTTCCAGTAGTAGATTGAAAAAGTCACCCGATAGGTAGTCGCTTTGTCTGAAACACCAGACACGAAAAAGACATGGACGCAGATCCTTCGAAGTCGAAGAATTCGAGACAATAGAAGGCGGGCCAAATAGCTTGATGCTGGCTACAAAGTCGTAGGCATCGCTGAACGCAGAAAGAGTAGAAACCGACAAATAAGTCCAGCTTGGAAAAATTACGCTGAAGTAGTACGAAAGCGTTCCCGGAGCAAGGGAAAATTCCATGGTAGACGGGTGGAGTGTTTCAGTGATTTTATGATGATTATCTCTATATGTTGCAAAGGCATTTTATACCCTCCTTACGGTTTCAGAAAAAGTCATATTAAAAAATTAAAACATAATTCGATTCTTTGAATAATATATTATTTACATATTCACACGATTAAAATAAGGTACAAAAAGGTATACAAAACTGACAGCTGCTAATTGTTTTTATAGCTATTCAACTTAAGATTAAATAAATGACTTTGTAACTAATCCTCATCCTTGAAAATGTTATTGGACAATTCGTGTTGCCATTTCTTCATCAGCGCCGACATGTTGGCTTTCGCAGGCAGAGTGTCGGCCACATTGCCCACACCAAAGGGACGCAATTCGTAGAGGAAATATTCCAAAACGTAGAACTCCTTCGGCTTAATGTAATGAAAGGAAATGGCGCTGCGCGAGCAACACTGCAAATTCTGAAATTTAAATGCGAAGAGAAAGCAAAATAAAATAGAAAAAAATCTCATTAAAAAGAAAGGATAAAAGCACTTCCTTCAAATATTGTTATAAACACATACACACACACACCGAGAGACAAATTAAGCAGTTGAAGTTTATATAAAGCTTGCCAGCGTAAATAAAAGCAATTTGGCAAATCTAACGAAATTAAACGAGCAATAAAAATAGCAAACGAGTAAGTAATTAATCTCCATTCGACAGCCGACAGTCGACAGTTGCAATTTCTTGCTCCACTACTCGTGCCAACACGGCCACCCAACAGCTCCACTACACCTAACCTCATACTTTCAGCATTCGCACTTACATACACTCTCTCTCCCCACACGCTGTGTGTATGTTTCGTGTGTCCAACTGACCTTATCGCGTTTGTAGAACAGGTATAATGGATACCATTCCGACGTATCGACAGGTATCAGATGTATCGGCGCCAATGGATGGAAGCGTTCGGCGCCCTCATCGTCGCGCGCATCGCCCGCCACAACGCCAGCATTCTGCAAACAAATGCCCATCTCTTTGTCCTCGGAGAGTTGATTTTGCGAGCACGCCGTGCTGTTGGCGGCAACTACCTCGGCGAAGCGACGCAACGCGGCACGGCTGAGCACGTAACCGGCACCACCAGACATGTAACCCTAATTTCGCCAACCAAACAAAAAGAAATATACAAAAACAATAAAAATCAACAACAAAAACAACAAAAAGGCATTACAAAAATATAGAGTACAGATGAAAATGAAATAAAGGAATCAGTATAAAAGCAAATGCCAAATTTGTGCAAATATGTGAATATTGCGCGCGACAGCAAATATTGCGCGAGTATACGTTTGCTTAACATACTCCACATACAGTCATACAAATATATATGCACACACATGTGTACAAAATATAACGATGTATGTGTAATGCTGGTGCAGGACGCGCGCTTGACTCAGGCGTGAATTGAGAGTGTGGGAATGGCCGCTGGGTGGTGGCTGGCAATCCGTTGCTCGTGCAGTTAATGTTGTATGCGTTTAACGGTGATTTTTGGGAATGTCTGCAGGTACCGCTATGCTCGCAATTTTGGTTATGTTAGACAAATAAGTAAATATATGCGTGTGTGTGTGTGTGTTGGTGTGTGATTGTGTTGGTTGGTTGTGTGATGGCGTTTGCCAAGCAAATATTTGCTATTGGGTCACACGGTGTACAGAGAGCAATTTAAACAACACACGAATCCTTTACGTTCCTTTATTTGTGGTGCATATGCGACGCCTGAGCAATGCAGGGTAAATACACATTACAATTCATATTTTCAAATTTTGTGAAATTTAGAATCAACTTCTAGCAAGTTAGTGGCTTCTCAGATTTCGCTTTTATTTGAGAATACCTTGCACCAAAGTGTTAGTCAAAGTATCGCATATTTGAAACGGCAACATTTTACTATTTTCCTTACATCTTGTGTATATTCCTCTTCCTTATTGGCGTAGACACCGCTTAAGCGATTATAGCCGAGTTTACAACAGCGCGCCAGTTGTTATTTTTGTTTTCGCTGTTTGGCACCAATTGGAGATTCAAAGTGTAGCCAGGTCCTACTCCAACTGGTCTTTCCAATGGGGTAGAGGTCTCCTTTTGCTTTCAACGGCGGGTACTGCATCGAATACTTTCAGAGCTGGAGTGTTTTCATCCATTATACGGACGACTTGACCTAGCCAACGTAACCGCTGTAGCTTAATTCGCTGAACAATGTCAATCTCGTCGTATATCTCACACAGCTCATCGTTCCTTCGAATGCGGTATTCTTCATATTTTGTCGAACTATAAATCTTACGCAGAGCCTTTATATGGAAAACTCGTTGCGACTCATCAGATGTCGTGCGCTGGGTAACTTGTAGAGTTTGGTCTTTGTTCGTCGAAAGAGGACTTTACATCTCAGTTGCCATCTCAATCTGAAGTAGCAGCCGTTGGCAAGAGATTTCGAGGCTGGCATTTTTATTGGTGTTAATGCTGGTTTCAAGATAGTCGAAATTATATACGACTTCGAAGTTGCGACTGTCAACAGTAACGTGGCCCTTGTTCACGGCAATATCATCGGCGTACGCCAGCAACTCCTATAGAAGATTCTACCCTCTCTATTCAGCTTTGCAGCTCGAATTAGGAATAGATTAAAGAAGTCGCATGATAGGAAGTCGCCTTGTCTGAAACCTCGTTTGATATCGAACGGCTCGGAGAGGAACTTACCGCTCCTGACAGAGCTTTTGGTATCTTGTGAACATGAAACCAAAATAATTGCGCCGACCTGGCGCCCAGAGTGAATCAAACCATCTTTTGATATACTGTTCTAATGTAAGCCGTTTTCCATTGAGGGTGTACTGTAACGCTCGGAACAGGTTATAGTCGGAAGGGACAAGGTTTGCGACCATAACACGGATTCATTAAAACTGTCCAGTGGATGTTATCCAAATAGTTTTTAATCGGTTTCGAAACATGTAGATTTCACATGTGGGGTTTCGCCTTTATTGTTACCGTAATGAGTCAATTCGATGCAAAAACAACTTTTTTAGTAGCGTACTAGCAGCATATCGGACATCCAAAAGCGCATATCAATGTCTCTTGGCTTCAATTCATATGGGATCACCATTCATTGCTCTTGAATGTAGCCGCCTCATTTAAACGTTTTCAAAATTGCTGTATGTAAAGAATGTGACGGCTCCTTTAAATGTTTTGATAGAAGTCAATGGATCATTTAGTACCAAACAAATTGAATATATTTTCATTAAAAATATATATTTCATTAAATCTAACCCATGTGACTTCAAAGACTTATGCAACATCTACCAATTATAAGGCGTGATTTGAGAGCTTGTCAGTGTGTTCAGTAAGGTTTTCCATTTTATCACGCCACGTTTCACTTTGAGGAAAAGTTTGGAAATTATGCAAGATTATTAGGCGTAATCACATTCATCGAAAAACCAACTTCTCATATTAGGCTCATTTCTGGCTTAACCAACAAACAAAATTGTCGCTATTGGGGTGTGTTAAATCAAAGTTCTCTGCAGACAATGCTTATCTGTCGGTTAATTTCTAAACCAATAAACCAGCAACGCTCGAGGAGCTCGAGGACAACATTCCGCGGGATCTAGCCGAAATTCAAAAATCAGTGACCATTTCGCCGACATTTTATTAAAATCTTGAGATCGCATCGGTTTGATGTCGCGATCCATCAATGGCATGCGGCTACTGCAGAGTATATCATATAGTGTAATCTTTTCTATCTCTCCACAATCCCATTTACACAACCGGTGTTCTAGTGGTTTATATAATAGTACCGCTTTTAGTATGGAATACTTTAAGTAGTAAGGTCTACCTTTAGGGTACCTTACCTTCAAGCAACTTCACTACCTTCAGGGTAGACCTTACAATGTGAATTGCAGCCATATATTTTAGCATCAAACAACATTAACTTCTTTGCGCTGGAAACAAATTCATGGTTCAGCGATCCTCTTCTTTCACAACGACTTTCAAACAGAGTAGTGGTTTTTCTGAAGACAATGCTTATTGGTCGGTTAGGTTATATTGATATGGTAGGTCAATTAGCCACGCATAGACATTGACCAATTTTGGTGCTTTGCGATATCAGATGGATTTCAGTTCCTAGGTCCAAGAGCAGTAGTCAACCCTTAGGATGCCTGCGTTTGACGCGAATTTTACCAGACTATGTGGCCTCACTATCGATACTCATCCAGTGTTTCATTGTTTCCTTAGTGCCTTGCTCTAGACATTTCCTGCTGTATTCTCAATATGTCATATGTCCCCTTCTGCAGGCGTGTGTTGCCACCAGACACTGATCAGTTAGTATTCCGATCATAGTCCTACAGTCTTTTTTATCAAGTGCCAGTGGGAATTCTGTGTACTTCAAATCTACCGTCTTGCAAATTAATTTTGCAATTTTTCACCCATGTAGTTCGTTCCATCGGGCTTTGACTTTCTTTACCATGACTTTCTCTAGATCATCGTATAGACAATGCATGGAGTCTCACTGTTGTTTACGTTTTCGGGTATTAGCCCATGTTGGCAATATCGTCCACTATTTCATTGCCCTCTATGCCTTTGTGGCTTGGTACACAATAGTAGTAAAGTTGCTTGCTTCTCGCAACACTTTTCACCCCGTCTTCCAAGACACTTCCGGCCGATATGCGATACGATATTGCTGTCTTGATTGCTGCTTGGCTGACGACGTAGATGGAGACTCTGAAATACCTGCAGGTACATTAGAAGATAGCTCCGCGTCTTTCGTAACAGCAAAGCTTAGGTTGAATTATACTTCAGAGCGTTGCGCCTAGCTAACATACCTTTACAACAACCATCATTTTCTATGTTTACTTCGAACCTTCTTTCACAGTTAAAAAGTGGGTTCATATAGTTGGTCGGTATAGTTAAAAAAAAGTTACACACCTAATGATTTACCTGCTTAACAAATGGATGAAATTTACAGCCGAAATAGACCGGAGCATCTGGAGAAAACTGATATAGGAACGCACGCAAATTCTCCATAATAAAGTAACTGAAAGTTAACAGTAAAGTAAAAAGCGTAAACAAAACGCGCATCAACGCACCTATCATCGTCGGCTTTGAGAAACCAATCCGCCTCATCGGCATGATGTTCGTAAATATACTTGAAGGCTGCGCGTGTCTTGTACCACAAATAATCACGACCCTCGGGCACATCCAAGACCACACTATCCAAGAAACTATCCGCTTTGGTGCTCATGAAGAGCAATTTATTGCAGCGTTTACCCCACGTGTTTCTTATATGCACTGCACGCTTCAAATGGTTCTCCGGCATGGTCATAATCCAGCACAGCACACGGGTATTATTGAACAAAAACTCCGGAAGTGCTTCGGCATCCTGCGCCGACGTCTGCGTCAGCGACTGTGTGGAATTTGTGTAATTCAGCCGCGCATTGTTGCTCAACTGCTGCAGCTTGACGTAATCCCAGAAGTCCGTGAGACGTACGCCAACAATCAAGCCAATGAGCAAGCACACAACGTTTCTAAAGAACATATTCGGGAACTTGTTTTCCCATTACAATGTGATTATTATTAAAACTCTATATATATATTTAGTAAATCTTTAAAAAATATGAGTAAAAACCGGATGCTCACTTTCACTCTCAAGTGCAGCGTAATCTTTTTGAGTTTAACACCTACGTAAACAGCAGCAGCAGTGAAGACGTAAGTCCAGCCACCTTTCATTCACATTATTTCAGCGACCGACCGCACAACCGTGAATTCGAGAGCCACAAAGCGCGCCAATACGATCGAACCAACTTGTGGTCCAGCTGAAAGTCAACTGAGTCATTTGTATGCGATCATCTCAAGTATCGTATTTCGTCTTCAACTTTTCATACGCTCTTCAGCATACCGCGCTCTCTGAGGCTATCATTGTGATAAACAGCTGGGAGCGAACACATAGCTTTGAACTTGAACAGCCTAAAAATACCAGCGCGTCACATTCCAAAACAAACCAAAACTTGGCCAAAAATTATGGAATTAAATGGAATGGCATGGAAGAGTAAGCAGCATTAACAGTGTGATGCTCAAAAGCAAATGGTAAACAAATAACATATCGTTGCTCGCTGCTCGCTGCTTTGCCCGCAAACTTAATTTCGTGTTTCAAGCTCCGTTGAGCCAAAAACCGGTTCGTCTCAGTGTCGAATTTGAATATACATATGTAAATAATAATAAAGCACGATCTTGCTCATTGGGAATTGAATTCTGACTAAAAATATATTAACAATCTTTACAAAAAATTAATATGCGATATCAGCTGATGACTAATGCCTATAATGAGCTCGACCAAAATCGCTAAAACGACGCTACAACGTCAATTGAAAAGGTAAATCAAAAGAAACTCTTCTCATAAAATGTGTCTATCAGTCGTTCCTTCTTTTCGCAATTGGCGGTAGCCAACCCGTGTGGAACCTGGGGTTAGAGTCACTCGAACATATTCAGTTTAAGGGTTCGCTGCGATCTAATTGCAGCGTCTGCAATTGTAAGCCTCACTAGGCGAGTAGTATCTAGTAAAGTTCTGCGCTTGGTTGGGACCCACACCCAATGAAAAGGAAAACAGTCGGTTATGTAGTATAATATATCGGTTAAAAAGATTGTCAACTAGTGTGAGTGAAGTAAAAAAATCATATCAGGCATGCAGTCTTCTGCAATTCTACTGTGGTCAGTCACCTATATCAATCTAAGCCGTGCTAGATATAAGGAACCGAGACATTCCTTCACTAGTTTCGAGCTCACGGCCAAGAAAATATAGCAGCCATACTGAGAGTGTACACGAAGACCGTGGAGAGTCGATTCAACTCCGTTCGCAGCAACTCGGACTGACGTATGGAATTACTTGGCATATTTTACGTCGAGATCTTAACTTGAAAGTGTACAAAATACAGCGTATGCAAGAAGTGAGGCCTCTGGACCTTCCCAAGTGACATCGCTTAGCCCTATAAGCTATTGAAAAGTCCCGAGAAGATCAGAAGTTTTCGAATCAAATTCTATTCAGCCTATTTCTGGCTCAAAGGGTATAACAAGAAAAGTAGCGGCATTTAGGACAAAGAGCATCCTGAAGACATTCAAGAGCTGCCATTTCATGCAGAAAAAAACCACGGTTTGATGTGATTTGTGGACGGGTGGAAGGAAGCATCGGTCCATATTTCTTCAAAAATGATGCCGGTGAGAACGTAACCGTCTCAGCGACTGTTATCGCGCGATGATAACCAATTATAGGATTTCTGAAATTGAAGTTCGTGATCTCGGAGACATTGGGGTTGGACTAGGTCAATTGATTTGTTGAGAGAACACTTCAGTGAGCAGATAATTCCACGTTTTGGGCCGGTCGATTGTGCATTAAGATCCTGTGTCAAAGTCAATGCGGATAATCCAGCTTCGATTCAGGCCTTGGAGCAAAACATCACGTGTGTCATTCGCCAGTTACCAGTCGAAATGCCACAACCAGTCGTCCAAAATTAGACACAATAGATAGACCATCTGAGACGTAACTACGGCCAACATTTGAAAGAAATAATTTACAAAAAATAAATGCCAAAGAATGTTCTTTCGAATGATATTAAACATTCCCCTTTAAATTTAAAATTTCTATGTTTTTTCTTAAAAAACAGTAGGGTCTACAAAAATTAAAATTTCTTATAAAATTATTTAAGAAAGAAACTCGCAAGAAAGTCTTTATTTTTTTTACAATGAAACCCTAACCCCTCCCTCAAAACATCAATTTCGCCGAAGAAACATATTTCGACAGTTAAATTTCCCCCACTAAAAAATTGAAAGGCAATTTCAATTCATTAAATGTATCCATATTAAATATATTTATTAGGTATTTAATTCTGTTGTTGTTATACACATTTCAATATTCATTATTTTTCATACTTTTATATTCACTTTATTAATTTTTAATATTAAGCTAATTCCTCATTACACTTTATTAAAATATTTTTGTATTTTTTAATTGGTTTTAAGGTAATCCAAAAGTTTTTAGCAAATTTTTAAACATACACAACCCACTGTGCAGGGTTCATTCACCCAT